CTCATCTCATCCTATCCTGCGATTCATGTCGTCTCGCGCCTGCGCACCTGATGAATCCCATCCACAAAGGGGTCTGGTATTACGAGAATTTACTATGGTAATTCCAGACCGCCCGTTCATAAGGGGCCGCGGATTTCCTTCGGCGGGTGACCATTCAATTACGACATGGATGGATTTCGATTAACTGGAACACTTCCACTTACGTGGGGGCTTTTTTTTTGAGAATTAGCAATAGGCTGCTCTGCGCCGGTTTTCCAAATTCTAAACTAGCAGCGCCGTTTTTGGTATCTCCTAGGGACCCGCTGGGTCCTGCTACTACAGTACTGCAGTGCACTGGTACCGATACTGTTAGTCTGATCTAAGCGGTCGCGGCAGTGGGAATGCATGGCAGCTGACGATACGCTATGTAAGGATTGGGATGTGATCGGTCGCCTACCTGTCGTCGTACAGAATAGCCTGTGCCATAGCTTGATCGCCTGCAGTCACACGCACACGTTTTTGTATGAGGTACGTTGAGACCCTACATATGCTGTGCACTATACGCGGAAGATGCCCTCTGCATTATAGCATGTGCAATCGTGCAGTGACAGTACAGTACGGTTTAATTATATACGGGACGACACAGAATACCTCGTACACAAGAATCGACGTCAGAAATATCGGAAGAACTCCCAAGAACGCCTAGTCAGGGTTCTTCTTGGCTCTGTCAGGTCCGCTTTCCCTGGGGTCCCCAGAATCTCGAATGCCCAGCCTGCAAGACGGCTGTTGGCGAGATGCCCGTCTCTTGGCATCTCCTTGCCAAGAGAGCCGCATCTTGGAGAGGACTTGAGAATTACATAACACGCACATCACAGACACGGGACCGGCGTCAAGTAAACAGATTAAAAGACGGAAAACTTGTCGCGGACGAGGTAGTTGTTTGATACGGCCGTCAAATTGCAAACGTGCTCGCCATCTCTTGCTTTACGCTGCTGTGCGATTTCGCATCTAGATGCCGTACATATGCGCAAGATCTTTGACCCTTGAATAAGCGTGGCGAAGAACGGTCCAGAGAAAGCACAATTGGATTGACCAGTCAGGTTGACTCAGAAATGTAACGGTGAGTGTGACATATTTCTGTTGTTTTATAGCTCAGCCGACGAAGTCTTCCAGAAGTCTTCAATACTTCCTCGAGACTTCGTTGTTCGAAACGCCTACTACAGCATTCCGCGACCCGTTATCCGTCCTCTGGCCTTACCCTCCCTTACCGATTGAGTTATAATAATCCGAGGTGATTGGGCTGAGCTATAATAATCAAATATCCTACTCGTGAAGGAATTTTTTATCAATTTCTTCAGTAGAAGGAAAAGTGGAAGGATGGGGGCAGTGGGTGTCATGCGGCATAATAGATTCTGCGAGTGTGTTTGTGTCGGTGTGTGACATGATATATGATCTATTTCTCTTTCGAGCCATGCGCATCGGGGGCTTTATTAGTTTCTGGGGGCCAACCTCTTCCACATGTCTGGCCCGGCTTCTGACAGTCCTGCCCTGCCATGTCATGTCACTCCATGCAGAGTTACCATGCCAATCACTACCTACCATCTGCGTAGATATGTACATAAAATACCGTGGTATACAGTGCAGACTATGGTACTGGCGTACATGGCATCATATTACATGCGCATGCATTGCCTGACAGACATATACCGGTAAATAAACATCAAGACACTACGTACGTGGTAGTGTCAATCATGCCGCGTAACCCTCGATGGTGCATGCGAAAAGCTTGTTCTATCTTGGCTACCGTACCGCAACGCTGGAACGGTTTACACTATACCTATACGTTCTCCTGGGACGGGAAACAATCAGGGGTTGAGGCCGTCGAAGCTGAGGGTTTAATATTGCTTACGTGCCTAAACGTCCTCGTTGGGCTCAGCGGGTAGGCGTGGCTTTGTAGATCTCCCCTTCTCGCCGACAAGGAGGCCTTGAATCTCTTCGTATTTGCTCGATCATGGGTTCTTCACGGGCTAGTACATGGAAGTGAGGGTGGGTGAGAGGCAGGAGGGATGGGAAGACACGGCATTGGTTCGGTGACGGTTCATCCCGTCGGGATTTTCCATATTGTGTAGGGCCAGATGTGTGAATATGACACGATGAAGGTTCGGATCGCAGATGCCGAGATTTCCCACTACGCAGGTGAGGGATATCCCGGATCTTGCACGAGTTGAATCGTCTCAGGGGAAATACCGGGAAGGACCTCAGTGGGCGGCATCTAGATCATGTTACGGATTACGTATGGTGAGACCTCCTTGCTTCGCCCCCGTGATGTCCATAGGAATAATACGGTGAGGAAGAATCCCACATGCAGGACTACCTCGCTGTGGCTGCGCCTTTCACCCTGATCTTACCGAGAAGACCCGGTGACACTCGGGTGATGCCGGACACAGAGGATCCGGCCGGTTCATTCCGGCTCATGGGCTCCTACCGAGACATCCCGAGACATCTTTCCTTAAATGATATGGGAAGGATCGGACGGGTATGATTAAGGCCGCGCGTGCGGATCCGGAGCACGGAGAATAGTAACGTCAGGTCACAGTCATCTCCGGCTCCGATCCGTGAGATCTGCCCGGAATTATCCTCGAGTTCGTTTGAAGAATGTGATTATGTTATAATCTTGTGATTAAAAATTATTTGTCTTAAGTCCTGTCCATCAGGGTCAAGGCAATTCCAGAACTACTCGGCCCGGATAGGTTATGAAAACAATGCGTTAGTATACAGTCTACCTAGCATGTAGTACTGGCCGAATATTTCTTGCTTCAATGCCACCCGCACTTATACTCTAGAGAACTGTGGCTATGCTTCTTCATAGGTTACGTATTTACTCATTATTTAAAATCCCTCGAAATTGCCATTTTCGTATTGTCTCAGTATATTATATTCATTAGGACCCGGTACCACCTATCATAGAACCTCTTTGGAGTCATCACGGGCGTAGTACGATAGATTACAACAATCATAGCATTACGTACAGACTTATCTACCAACTCCGTGTCGCAGATGGCACTAGAAGTCTCCAAACGTAGTGTATGTGGTACTGTTAGAGCATCCAGTCCATTTACGGCTATTGATATTCAACGGAGACTTTCTTCCCAGTTCTCTATGGATTCTCTGGAACTAAAAGAAAAGAGTCATCCGCGGCTAGATAAGTAGACCAGGTGATAAAAAGTACAAAAATGCATCAGCCGCGAATCGAACGCGGGGCCCATCGATGGCAACGATGGATTTTACCACTAAACCACTGATGCTTGTGAAACATCCACTGGCGAGATTAACGATGGAGGGCGATGGGTACGAACTGTTCTAGTTGCCTTAAGTAAGAAGGTATCAAGAAGGAGAGGAAGAGCAGAATTTTCATTCTTAGCCCTAATGAAGACATTTGGGTGGAGTTAATGTACAAGGGCGAGTAATGGAGCATGAGAAGAGATATGTACATAGTGTGGAGACACGCCAGTTCGAGAACATGACTACGTTCTATACGCCCATAATACATACTCTTACTATCTTATCACTACCCCCTCGGGTATATTGGCTTATTCTAGAGACTATGTGCGAGATGATATCTCTACAGATGCTCTTAACCCAGGCTTCTTGCTCACTAAATGAACTGCCATGTAATTGAGAGGGGAGAAAAAGAAGATAGGCCTACCGTATTATCAATGCCCACTAGGAAATCCAAGGAGTTTAACCAAACATCTTGATAAGAAATGTCTATCTCTGCTAAATATGAGCTTGTGGAGCCCTAGATTTCCTAGTTTAGGACTAGATGTTTGCCATCCGTCCGTACCTTTTCTGAGCCGCGTGGTGTCCACTATGGATCCGTCCCATCGCACGAAGTCCGAGCCGTTTGGAGAGAAAATTTTCTCAACTTCACCCCGTACGGCATATGTCAACCCCATTAACAGAGCAAGAGCTCATCTAAGAGCCTCTGGTCTGGTCCCATAGCTCAGTTGGTTAGAGCGTCGTACTAATAATGCGAAGGCCGAGAGTTCGAGCCTCTCTGGGACCATTGGTTCTTCTTTTTGCCCTTAGTGAGGGTCGTGATCTTCGATGAGAAGTGTGGTGATAGAATGCTAAATTAAAATTTTATGCCTTGCGAAGCACGATTACGCACGAGCATTTTTGCCACTATCACCAAAGTCAACTTTATCGAAACTCATATCCTACTCGCAGTATTCGCCCGGTGTCGGCGGTCTATTTAGAAGATATTCGTGTGGAGAGATAGGCAATTCGGTGGCGAAAAATGCGTATCTTGAGTGGCTTTGGGGATCTCTCTGCCGGTATGATTCGACACAATGACTGAGCTGCGCACAACTCAGCTAGCCTAGTGAGTCATGAGAATTACGATCGCTTTCATATCTATCTCGAAGATACTTTCCTGTACTAGGAAGTCAATGATACTAGACATCAGCTCATCCCTACATCATATCCCGAAGATCATAAACAACTGAGATAAGAATAGTAGAGTTGGCCTATGAGGCTACGCCACGATCTGGCTGGCTTTCTTCTGCAGCGTATTCACGCTAGTTGTTTAACTGGTAGGTATCGGAAGTAGCAGTCTCGAGCGACCCGTGACAGAGTCATTGTAATCGTCGATTCTCAATAATCGGGTCTTTCGAATTCGGAACCAGTTGCATGTGAATGAGTCGTTGTGCCAATTAGGGAGCATATTGTGCGTATGGTTTGTTGTAAGAGGATGCTATCCTGTGCTGGCAATTGACTCTATGAGAAGACTCTAAGCCTACCTCATAATTCAACGTATTGTCAGAAAGAGGAAACTCCAGAAAGAAAGTCATTTCGCCATATGCCATGATTTACTGTAGGTGTAATTCTCCTAGAGGTCAAATAAATCCTGTTTTCTGGCTGACTTGCTCAGCCTCTTCAGTCAGAAGAAGCGGCGCAAACAACTAGAATTGCGGTCATAGAGCCAAACAACAGCGTTTCAGCCAATCGCATCAAAGCAAGGCTCAATGGTCTAGTGGTAGGATACTCGCTTCGGGTCTGTACGATTCCAATCTCACTGGATCGTGAATCCCATCTCGCAGAACGAGATAATGTGAGTGGTCCCGGGTTCAAATCCCGGTTGAGCCCTGACTGCATTTTTTTTTCTCTTGTCCGTCATCGCACTTGGTGCGGTGGATCATGTAATATTTTTGCTTGGCTGGACCGACGGAATCGGATGGATGATCCGTGCTAATATCGTTCGGACACTGGCTGGGGGTGGATGGATGTTGCCCTAAGTAGGTAGAGTTGGTAGGTAGAGGAGACAAAATGTGAAAAATATATGATAGAAGGGAAATCAAGATCGAAGTTCTATCTATTATAGCTAACTAAGGGCTAGAAATATTTGCTGAATCTTCATGTAGCGACGTGGAGTATTTCAATGATGGAGAGGGGGTATGTATAATGATAATACTACTTGCAAACTCCTGGGGTTGTCGGAAGTTCAGAGGTCGTAACGTAAAAACAAGTGTGTCTCCCTCTTACGGATGTCGCAACCGACGTGAATGAATGCAATACAACCTGCTAATTACTACGTTGAAGAGATTCAGAGCCTGCCGAAGCTGGGAAACAGATCTGTGAAATAAGCTCTGCAGAGTATCAGGTATATCACGACGATATATTGTCTAGTTAGTGACATTGCGGGTTATAATGTAATGTAGATTGCCGAGAACTTCCAACTTCCAGGCTAGGACGGTCCATGTGGACTCGATTGACCAGACTATGTACGGCCTTTAGAGATCCCCTAGAACGTGAGTAGTGAGTGGTATAACCAAAGCACACATAAGAAGTTGTTTCCGAATGAAACTATTGCCAGAACGAAATAACCAGAATCTGGCCAAGTAGATTCATCCAATAACTTCCACATAAATCCTTTCGCCGGCCTCAACTTCCCTCCCCTTTCCCATCTTCCCAACGCTTCAACCCCCGAGCCAAATTGCCTACTAGGTTTCTTGCCCAGCTCGCCACCTCCCCAAACCGTTCATTGTCGGCATCTTCCTCAAAACTAACTCTCCCATACCACCACTCCAACCATCGCTGCGCCCGGGCTCCTTCAGGCGCATCTAGAAGCCCAAGACTGACATCAATGAGATCGGGTCGCCAGCGGTCGTGCCAGAACACTGTTGCCCCGCAGCGCGGGCAGAATTCACGCAGGACGCCTGGGGAGCTCTGGTAACTTTGGAGGATACCTGGTGGAAGAGTCGCGAAGTCAAGCGGGATGGCATCAGACGAAGCAGGTGAAGCTGAGGACGTGGAAGAAGGAGAATTAGGAGGAAGGAAGAAAATATTAGTCCGCGGCACAAACGCCCATGTCTGGATCTCAAAACCGGATGTCAGACGACAGGACCGACAGGCGCAAGTGCCAGCTAGATACTTGGTCGGGTTCGGATCGCCGTGTGGACAGAGCCACCACTTTTCGTTTTGCGGGTTGGTGATTATCTCGCGAGGCGAGGTCTTGAATGGTATCATGAGGTCCGGGAAGCCGGAGTGCGGAAGTCGGCTTGATGCGTCGGGGCGTGAGATGCGGAAGCGCACGTTCTTGCAGTAGCAATGCGCTTGTAGTACGTCTTTACCCTCTTCATCTCTTGTCTGGCTCGATGAGACGTGTGGTTCCTCATGGCCATGCCTTTCCAGCTCGCCCAGCTCTTCGACGGAATCTACATTGATGAATGGGGATAACCCGCCATCTTTAGTGTCGGCAGTGTAAACATGCCTGGCGTTTCTTAGGAGCAGCTCCTCCTCTGCATCACCAGCTTCAACCGGTTCTTCATCATTTCCAGTTCTATCTCGCCCAATGATAATACCCGTAGCCACAGACCACAGTCCATCGACTTCTTCGTTACTATTGGGAGAGGTTTGTTTGCGCTGAAAGACGTGACAGCCACAAGTATCGCAGAAATAGCGAGTAAGAGTAGTCCTAGAAGATGACTGCGCCGACTCACTAGGGTATATCCTAAGGCCGCTTAGGGATCGCGGTGTTTGGATGGGTGCGTACGAGACACATAGTAAGCCGCTGCTATGACGGCATGCATGGCAATGGCAGAGATCAATGTCTATCGGACCCGGTGTCGCTTGTGGTTCTGGCGGACGCAAAACTACGGTCTGTTTTGCGGCGCCGCAATGGCACGATATTAAGACATCAGTTTTCTGCGACATCGAGAGGGACGGCTGAGGTTTACGACTGGATTAGATTAAGCGGCCCCGAATCTTTTTTTTAGTTGTTTCAAGGCCCTGTTAAGTTATTTAAATGGTAGATAAGACCTCCCCGCACACTTACGAAGCTGCTGAACGAAGTCGGAACATACTAGATATATCTAAATGCTCAAAATGATCTATCGCGATTAAAAACTCGGACTATATGCCTTCACTTCCGTATGACGGAGCTTCGGCCCGTTGAAAGCTAGTCACAAGTTATCCCTGTTGGAGATGCATGATAACCCTTCTACTCTTGATCATAATGACGAATACTTCTGCATCGTCTCTTTCTTGCTAATCGAAGGCATATAATCATAGTGAAAATCTTCAGATTAAAGGAAATAGGTAGCGATCAGCAAGTGTAACTGACATGTAGTTTCGAGTCTTTGCAGGGCCTTCACGCCGATATCCTCTCTTAACTTCTTTTTTGTTTGCATTCAGCATTCCCCCAAGTTTTTTTTGCCCCTCCGTGATCTTCATTAGTATGGTGGTATACATGAGCCCAGCAGACACGCCGTCCGACACCGCCGGATGCTATACATTCAGAAAGGACAAAAACCAGTGGAGATTTTTCTTCGTCATGATCCTACAACGCGATTGGACGTGAAGTCAAATTAGGGGCGGATGAGACGGGATAAGAAGTTTAAACTGTCGCCTCATTGCCTTCGCTAGCAGGCTTGGGAATCGACCTCTCGGCTTCCTTCTCGCCATCCTTACTCGATGACGCTTCCTTAGGTATCGGATCATCCTTGACTAATTGCTTAGTCTCCTGGTTGGCTCCCTGAACATCAGGGTGAGGCGGTGCTACGCCGGCAGCGGCTAGCTCTTCTACGGGCACTTCGACTTCGTTGCCATTGGCGTCGATTACGCGTGTTCTCGTTTCGTACCTAGTCTTGAATTCGACCTTGCCTTCCAGGGCCTTGACCTGTTCTTCGTTGAGAATGTTGCCGTCCTGGTCTCGGTATTCGACACGCTCCTCTCGTCCAATCACTCGTTGACCTTGTGGCTCAAATTTGGGCGCCCCTGAGATGCCCGCATTTGGCGCTTCCTGGTTATTTCCGGCCGCGGGTTGTTGAACTGGTGGCTGCTTGTTACCTGCAACGGGTTGAGGAGTCTGAGAGAAGCTCGGAGTCGCGCCAAGCGATGAGTATGCGTCGTACTATATAGGCAATATGATTAGTAAACTGCCCAATTAGAAATATCTAAACTTTTTCATATGTACTCTATATCCGTATTGAATAGTCCAGATAGAGACAGGAACATACGTGTTGTCTATATTTAACCTCGTCCTCTCAACGGCATGCCTTGGGGAGGGATACTCACGCTCTCTAAGAAAGTATTACAATCCCAGTCCCAGGTATTGAACAGCTTTACACGGTTGCATTCAGCTTTGGTCCAGGCGTTTCCATACGCAAGGGGTGAATACAGGGCAAAGACAATGGCAGAAATAGCCAGGAGTGCAATAACACCGGCCTTGTTGACAATGGAGTTTTCCCTGACAGCTGCAAGTCGAGCTGTTGCGAAGTCATAAATCTGGCAAAATGCCATGATGGCGAAAATCAACGCAGGGAAATAGTGGTGTAAGAAGAGCTGGCGCTGCATCAGGTAGAACGGGAAGTAGTGTAGAGCCCATCCGAGTACTGAAGTTCCGATCTCGTAGTCGAATCGTTTGAAGTTGACGTTTGAGTAGTCGTTACAGCTGCGTTGCCATCGAAGAACCGCAATACCCTTGAAGAGCACGTAAATAATGACGGCAAGAGTTGCTGTATACCAGATGATGGGGTTACCCATCAAGTAGATTTGACGGTGGTCTTTGCCCCAGAAGTTGATACCACGACGAAGAATTGGCCAAGACTCAGGACGAGAATCCCAGGCATGAGACTCAACCAGGCCTGCGTTTGTCCTCCACATGACCTTCTGCAATTCCCAAAATTTGCCGAAGAAACCGGGGTTGACATAGTTCACCTTCTCGGCATCGGGAGGCAGCGCGGGGTGCGCGTTCGACTCAATGTACCATAGGCTGTTGGGAAGGGTGCCGCCCTTTGCGCAAGTAACTTCTTGCTGTTCGGATGCCCATTCCGGTAATTTGACCTTGTGAGAGAAGAGGGCACAGCCAGTCATTATGTGAATGAGCCTAAACTTGGTCTGAATGGTGCGAAGACGTTCCTTGGCAACAGGTCCTAGAGACTGCTTCTTGACGATTTCAACACGGAACAAATCGTTGGCATCACCAGCGAACCCCTCGTATCCATAGGCAGATACTTCGTTCTGCCAATCAGCCTCAGTGATAGGGGGTCGAACATCGTGGGAGTGGAGGCGGCGGTGAGTGGCTAGGTGGTACAGCCGGACAACATCACCGTCCTTGACGTAGTTCTCGGTTATGTTTTTCACATTGTCCCAAGCGCGAGTGCCGTTGATAGGTTCACCGTTAGCATCTAATGGCTGAGTCTGGTTCTCGAGCAAAAAGATGTTATTGTCGTCCTTATGGGGATAAAGGGTGACCTGCTGCTGCTGACTGCCTGTTGGGTACATCAGGGGGTGAGAGTGAAGATAACCTCCCTGAGTGTTGACATGTCGGATGGTGACGCGGCTGCCAAAAAGGACATCGACAGGTACATCTTGCATGCCCTTGTTGTTCAAGGTAGCCTGGAACTCGGAGCTCATAAATCCATCACCGTCACCGGGATTCACCAAGCAGAGGAAGTGGATACCGAACATGGCCATATAGAAAGTGGCTGGGATGATGATTAGACAGAAAGCGCGGGCAAGGAAGTGCTTCGCAAAGATGCGCATGGTAACAGTCTTGGTGTCGCCAAGTAACACCCATAATTGTATGAGAGTCAAGATTCCAACCCAGGCGATCGTGAAGAGGCCGACCCACTTGATGCTGACGG